GTCCACCTCGGGATCCACACTCTCGTCCAGTGGAGTCTCCCAAGTAGCGGGCTCCTCGACTCTTACGTCCTCCTCCTCAAGCAAGTAATCTGAAAAATATTAGTGATAANATTACTTAAATGAATAAATGAGCACCACATACAAATAATAACCATTAATTGTCATAACCAATTTTCAACAATTCTTTCGGTAGGTGGCATACTTTGTGGTAACCTCCACCCCCCTTTATGTCACCTTTGATTCTCAAGCATTTTTACCGGGAATCTCTTGAGAATGAATGATCATCCTTACAAGGAACCTCTCACCAATCACTACATTGTTTTCCAAGCATCCTTACCGGGAACCTCTTGGAAAGAAGTGAGCATCCTTACAAGGAACCTCTCACTCATGTGCATCACAAACAACCCAACCAAGCATACAATTTCAACATTTATCTCAATTTACAAGCATCTATCCAAAATTCCTAAAATATATCATGTAACAATTCCACAACCAACTAAGAAAATACATGAGATCACAATAACATCATTTTTCTACCCAACACAAAGCACTAAGGTTTCGAAATCTATAATAAAGAAAGCATTTAGGAAGAAAATACATCACTCTCCAAAAATTAGAGTTTTAAAACTAGAAATGAGATTTCATGGGTATTAAACCCTACTTTGTTCAAAACATGTAATCCTTGCAAAAAGCCTAAGAGATGATGATTTCATAGGAAATATATATACCATTGATGGCCAAAACATAGATATATAAATACCCTAGCCTCAATATAAGTGAATGAGAGAAAACCCCTACTTTGAATCCTTAGTTTGTAGGAAGAACTTGAGCTTTGATCTTGAATCTACCCTTAAATCTCTTATTTTTTCCTTTCTTTCTTCTTCTCTAATGCTCTCTAGGGTTCTAAGAGGTGTGGGGNTTTGATCTTAAATCTACCCTTAAATCTCTTGTTTTTCCCTTCCTTTCTTCCTCTCTAATGCTCTCTAGGATTCCAAGAGGTGTGGGGTGAGAGTGGAGTGAACGAAATGAGGGCAAATGGGATGAAAATGGGGTTTAAAACACCTCAGCCCCAAAATTCACTGTTCACAGCCTGTTTTGGTTTTCTCTAAAATTACGGTTTTGTCACTAAAAATCTCCAATTTAATCCATATGACTACCCTAAGGTTTTTCGATGTTCCGGATTCATTTTTAATATTATTTTAACCTAAAAATATTTATTTTTATGATTATCTCAAAACCAAAGTCAATGTACACCCGAAACACTAAAATTTCTATTTTATCCATCCGAACCGGCTATTAATGAAGTTTTGCGTTGTTTGTAAATAAAAGGTTATAAATGGTGCTTCTTAAAGCTTTTTATACTTATTTGAAGTCTAAATGTACTTATTATTCTTATATTTTGATTTAGAATGCAAATGAAGACGCTAAATGCAAAACGAAGCTAATTGGACTGTTTTGACATCGCTTCTTTATCTGGGCATAACTCTCTCATCCGAGCTCCGATTGAGATGATGCAAGATGCTATGGAATGATAAGAAAGATCTCTAAAACTTTCATGTTTTGAGGTTTGAGAAATATTGACTGCATCAAGGTCTAAATCGGGCTTGAAGTTGCAGCCAGTGCACTGTTCAAGTTAATTGGGCTGTTTTGACATCACTTCGTTATCTGGGCATAAATCTCTCATCCGAGCTCTGATTGAGATGATTCAAGATGCTATGGAATGCTAAGAAAGAGCTATAAAACTTTCATGTTTTGAGTTTGGAAAGATATTAACTGCATCAAGGTCGAAATCACGCTTGAAGTTGCAGCCAGTGCACTGTTCACGTGCATTGTTCACGTCCTGTTTCATCCCTTTTTCATTTCCAATCTATTACTAAGCCAACCAAATCCATCCCAAACCTTTCCGACACATATTTCTACACCAAACTTATTTAATACAAGTTCTAAGACCTAAAATGTCATATTTTCACTTATTAAAACCAAATTTCAACTATTATTTCTACTAACATTTTAAATCTCTACTTTTTTAGTCTATCAAATTCAAATACACATCATTACACATATCCACATTTTTAGCACAATTATTTACTATATATCTATATACATATATAAAAGAAAATGCAGGGTGTTACAGATTAAGTGACAAACCTCAGGAGGTGTAGGTGTAATTCTCCCAAATATTAAATATGAAAACTTACCAAAATTCATTGTGAAGTAAAAAGGAAACTATAAAAACTATATTAATTATTGTTTTTACCATATAAGGAAAGTAAATTAGTCCAATAATATGATGGAATCTTTTTACAAAGAATGAAAAGAAAATATTAATTAGTCTGTAAAGATTTTTCACATTTATAAGGGAAGATTTCATAATAAACGGAAGAATCAAATCTTTCATTAAATTAGAAATTTTTTTAATGCACAAATAAAAACTAAAACTAAAAAAATTCTCAAAAATAATCGTCTGATTTAAGGGAGGACACAAAATGTCAAAGAAAAATTTGAAAATTTTAAATTGTATACTTGGACACAATTAAGATCTAAAATTAAGGATTTAGTTATTTACCATAAAATGTTATATACTTTTCACAATAAAGTCTAATTTTGTGTAACCCTTCCAATTTTCCCTTTATTTTTTCATTGTTATGGGCCCAATTCTATTTCTCATATTTTAATCTTCATACTTATTTTATGGTCCAAATATGTTCATAATTCCACCGTCAAATAGGCTGCCAGATATGTTACATTAGCTTGATGCTAATTATGCCTATCAAGAAGTGCAAATTCTCTAAGCCATACAGGAATCTGGCAACAGTTCCGCACCTTGACCAAAAAGCCTCATAATTTCATGTGAAATGTAAGTTCCACTCTTCCACTATGCACCTCTTTTTTTGACATGAGTTTCATTTATTGGTTGACCTTTTTCAACAAGCGTGTTGTGTGTAACCCAACTTCCACATTGCTTTTGGTTCTCCTGTTCATGGCTCTTCTTTGGGTCACCTTGGATGACTACTTAAGCTTCTGTATAGGTATCTGCTCTGCCCTCACGTTTCTGCACTTTTAAGCTTCCAAAGATTTATTTAATCCTTTTGAGTTTGGTTCTCTACCTTTATCCATTCCTTTGGTGTGTCTTTTCTTCTTGTGTCTCCGTTTATCTGTGTTTTTTAATCATTTCATTTTACACTCAGCTTGTAGTACTATGATGGGTTCTTATTTTGCTTCTGCAACCTTTTAATATGTTTTTGGATTTGTGATTATAGAAGCTGTTGGGTTCTTGTGATGGAGTTGAACATGACCAGTTATATGCTTGTGTTATTAGGGCTTAAAAGGCTGTTTCTGTTTCCTATGAAAAATCTGATTACATTTAGTTCTTGGCAGGTTACGTCCTTATGGTTGGTAGTGTTTTTGTATACTCTCTTTCTCTTGAAGTAGTTCAATTTTTATTTTTGGGTTTTTCTTAAATATTACACATGTTTTTACTAATTGAAATGTCAATAAGCATTTGTTAGTGTCGGGAAACGAGCTAAGAATCAGAAATATTTTATTGATATAAGTTGTTTTGTGTTTTTTTCATAACAGGGTCAAATTGACGTTTTCCATATAACAAACCATATGTTCAAAAAAAATATATACCAAACCATGAATCTGTTCTGGGTCTTGGTGTTAATGGTTTTGTACAATGGGTATTTATCAAATGGGCTCAATAGAAATGCTTCTACAAGGCCTGACGTTGTGAACATTGGATCTATATTCACTTTTGATTCTACAATTGGCAAAGTTGCAAAAGTTGCTGTAGAAGCTGCAATTGAAGATGTGAATTCCACTCCAGCCGTTCTCGGTGGAACCAAGCTGAAACTTACCATGCTTGACTCCAATTTTAGTGGATTTATGGGAATCGTTGAGGGTACAACCTTTGCAACTTTTATTTTGTCTGTCTTTTACAGCTTATGTTTTCCTCATTTTGATATTTTTTTTTATATTCTTAGTTTGATCGTAAACTCGTATTGTTTGATTTTGCTACCAATGAACAGCTTTAAGGTTTATGGAGACTGATACTGTGGCCATAATTGGCCCCCAAACATCCGTCACAGCTCATGTGATCTCCCATGTCGCAAATGAACTCCAAGTACCTCTGTTATCATTTGCAGCTACAGACCCAACTCTGGCTTCTCTTCAGTACCCATTCTTTGTGAGGACAACACAAAATGATCTGTTTCAGATGGCTGCAATAGCAGAAATTGTTGAGTACTATGAATGGAGAGAAGTAATTGCAATCTATGTGGATGATGATCATGGGAGGAATGGGATAGCTGCATTAGGTGATCAATTAGCTGCAAGACGCTGTTCAATCTCTTATAAAGCACCCTTGGACGCTGTACCAAGCAAAGACAACATCAGAGATGTCTTGGTTCAGGTGGCTTTAATGGAGTCTCGGATTCTTGTTGTCCACACTTATGCTGGTAGGGGTCTAGATGTACTTTCGGAGGCACAATATCTTAATATGATGGATAGTGGATATGTCTGGATCACTACAAATTGGCTCTCTACAATTTTGGATACCGATGCTCCCCTTCCTCCACAGGTAATCAATAACATTCAAGGTGTTATCACGCTTCAAATGTACACACCAGATTCAGAGCTCAAGGCAAACTTCATCTCTAGATGGAGCAACTTGACGAGTAAAGAGATGGATCGTGGTCCTATTGGGTTGAATACTTATGGACTATATGCTTACGACACTGTTTGGCTGCTTGCTCATGCAATTGATGCATTTTTCCATCGGGGAGGAAATATTTCATTTTCTAATTATTCAAGATTAAGTGAACTACAGGGAGGGAGCTTGCATCTTGATGCTATGAGCATCTTTAATGGTGGGAATTTATTGCTCGACAGTATTTTACAAGTCAATATGACGGGTGTAATAGGACCATTAAAATTTACTTCAGATAGGAACCTCTTCCGTCCTGCATATGAAATTATTAACGTAATTGGCACAGGAGTTAGGAGGGTCGGTTATTGGTCTAATTACTCCGGTTTATCAGTTGTGCCTCCAGAAGCGCTTTACATGAAGCCGCCTAATCATTCCAGTTCAAATCAACGACTATACGGTGTAATCTGGCCTGGACAAACAACACAGAAACCTCGAGGGTGGGTTTTCCCACACAATGGCAGGCAATTGAGAATTGGAGTTCCAAATCGTGCTAGCTTTCGTGAATTTGTTGGAGAAATATCAGGCACAGATATGTTCAAAGGGTATTGCATCGATGTCTTTACAGCTGCCATAAACTTGTTGCCATATGCAGTGCCCTATAAATTAATTCCCTTTGGGGATGGTCGTGATAACCCTAGTTGCACTGAGCTTGTGCGCTTGATAACAGCTGGCGTGAGTATAAAATACCAAGTATTTATTGCAACTTTCCGAAGAAGTGGTTTGTGTCTAATTCTCTGAATTTTTCTGTCCCATACAGGTTTATGATGCTGCAATAGGTGACATTGCAATCATCACTAACCGAACAAGGATGGTGGATTTCACTCAGCCGTATATTGAGTCCGGGCTAGTTGTTGTAGCACCAGTTAGAAAGTTGAATTCTAATGCTTGGGCTTTTCTGAAGCCATTTTCTCGTATGATGTGGGGTGTCACAGGATTGTTTTTCCTGATTGTGGGGGCTGTAGTTTGGATTTTGGAACATAGACTGAATGACGATTTTCGTGGCCCTCCCAGGAAACAAATTGTCACTATCCTCTGGTGGGTGCTTTAGAAAACTTTCTGATTCATATGAGAACTGTGCCGCCTTTATTACTTTCTGATTTTGAACACATCAGCACAATTGCCCTTGGAGTCTGCATATCCTTAAATATTATTTATTATCAAAAGATCGCTGCAAGGCGGTTGACTTATAGTACCTCAAATCATTCAATATAGAACTGATTATATGAGTTCTATATATTGCACCACAATAAATTCTGCTGCTTCAGTTTAGTCTCTGCTTTTGTTTCTTCCATTAAAACCTTCCTTTTGCCAATGAAAATAGGTTTGAAAATTTCATCATCTGATCCGAGCCTCCTTGGTCACTTACAAATATATGTTTCACCTTGCAGGTTTAGCTTTTCAACATGGTTTTTTGCCCATAGTAAGTCATTGGCACTGAGTTTTGATCAGCTTCTCATTCAGTGTTACTTTGTAGACCAGATCAAATATCTGACTTGCTGATTTATGCAGGAGAAAATACAGTTAGCACCCTTGGTCGCCTGGTCCTTATACTATGGCTATTTGTGGTTCTAATAATCAACTCCAGTTACACTGCAAGCCTTACCTCGATCCTTACAGTACAGCAGCTTTCTTCACCAATAAAAGGGATTGAAAGTTTATTAACGGGCAGTGACCCCATAGGTTACCAACAGGGTTCCTTTGCTCGTAACTATCTGACTGAAGAACTGGGCATTCATGAGTCTAGACTCATTCCTCTTAAATTGCCAGAAGACTATGCCAAAGCCTTAACAGATGGGCCTAACAATGGTGGTGTTGCTGCAGTGGTGGATGAACGTGCATATATAGAACTCTTCCTCTCGAGCCGCTGTGAATTCTGTATTGTTGGTCGAGAGTTCACCAAGAATGGATGGGGATTTGTAAGTAAACTCTTCATTCAAAACACTTCAACCCCTTTTGTACAATCCCTTGGTGGTTCAGTAAAATTCACATTCATCGAGCAGCATAACATGGTATGCATGGCTGCATTTCTTTCGTTTTTCAATACACTGAAGAAGAATCAAAATTCCAAATTAACTTTCTTATTAATGAAATAATCAACACACGCAACCTATCAACTACAGAACTGTTGATCAGTGGGATAAGAATACCTTTGCAGACATGATAACAATAACACAGGATGTAGATTGATGCATCTTATTTATCCATTTTGCGTGAATCCATACATATCTGCATTCTGTGGATTGCCAATGCCTCACCTTTGCAGGCATGCTAACAAGAACATAGTACATAGTTTGATGCATCTCCTTTAACCATTTGGCCTAAATGTATGCACATTTGCACTGTGTAGAGTTTTTGTCCTTCAAAGAAAACTTGGTTTATGTTGAACATGGTTCTAAATGAATGAATGGAAATTTTGGAACTGACAACCAAATTGTGCTGATGCATAGTCATTACATCATTTCTAAGATAAAAGAAAATTACCACCTGGGGTTGTCAACCAGAAATAGTATCTTTCCTCGTTGGTGTTTGCCTACAATAATATTGCTTGATTCTTTTTTTGTCATCAGGCCTTTCCACGAGACTCTCCTCTAGCATTTGACATGTCGACAGCCATTCTGAAACTCTCAGAGAATGGGGAACTCCAAAGAATCCATGACAAATGGCTGATGAGAAGTGCCTGTAGTTCTCAAGGTACAAAGCTTGAAGTGGACCGGCTTCAGCTGAGGAGCTTCTCAGGCCTCTTTTTCATATGTGGATTAGCATGCTTGGTTGCTCTTCTTGTATATTTCATGCACATGGTATGCCAGTTTAGCAGATATTACTCTCAAGAATCTGAGTCCTCTGGTCCAAGCTCAAGATCAGCACGACTACACACATTTCTGTCATTTGTCAATGAAAGGGAACTAGTAAAAACCCAATCCAAGCGAAGGCAAATGGAGATGGCTTCAAATAGAGTTATTGAAGAAGATGAATCAATAAATGGTTCCAAGAAAATCCGCACAGAAATGGTTTCAAACAGGAAGTGTTAGTTTTGAATGTGCTACTTGATTAGTTTCATCCTGCTGCAAGTTATATACTGTACCATATGGGAGTTTCCTTATGGTCTCATCATTTGCTTTTGTAATATGGTAATTGTAACTCTGCTGGCCATCTTAACCAGGCATTTTATGCACATATGTCAAGTTTCCATAACCACAATCCGCTGATCATTTGAATGTCAATCTTGTGGAGAAAAATACAACACTTAATGTATAGGTTCTTTCCACTCGATTATGCATGAGGAAGGAATCACACACTAGACTTACGGGGGGGATGAATAGGTTAATAAAAATTTTGCTTAAACAAACGCAAATTTTAACCCAATTTGACCTCTATTATTTCATCTCACAATGATATGACAATTTAAGTGAGAATTCCTTTTAAACCACCACAACTCAAAACATTCATGTTGATTAGTATATTGATTTTATCAATTCGTTGGGTAACATTCATAATGATGAACAAAATAAACTTATGCAATATCAATGGTCGAGTGTGTGATAAAGTGTAATTAATAGACAATGAATAGAGTAATCAATGACAACAATGTAAATATCGAGTCAACACATATATATAGTGTTTTGGTCCGGATGACCTACTAAACTCCAAGAAACGGCAATGGTAGCAGGAAGACTTTTTATTGATAAAGTAAGGTGAACAAGAGAGAGAGTAATTGTTACCTCCGAGAGAGGTACAATTACTAGGAGAGAGAAAAGCTACGTGTAGGGTGTGTAGAGATAGATCAAGAGGTGCCTTCTCATGTAGAGAGAGCTTACAATTTATAGGCATAGAACACTAGTTAAGGCGATGACATGAGGGCAAATGTACTAATTTTTTGGGTAGCTATAAAAGGTAAGTGTCATAAGAGATTGTCTTGATCTTCGAGAGTGAGTATCTCGATAATTACTCTCTACGTGCTCTAATTATTCTTGGATTCCTTGGACCTTGAAGTGGCAAGTGGTTGAGGGCATGAGAGTCTTTGGACAGACGAGGGATTCTTGTTCTGCACGGTAGTAGCTTCATTATCTTAAAAAGGTTCCTTGTCCTACACGGTGGCAACTTTTTCAATCTCTTGCTCCGTTTGCACCTTAAGAGCTTGTTCTCTTGACTTGATAATCACTATGTGATTGCTTTCTATGTAGTTTCACCCACATTATCTGCAGAGCAGAAGAGTAGGCTTTAGATAGTTCATGACCATTGTTTCAAGGAATTCTTAAAGATTATGTCCGCATTAGGTTGTCCCAAGGTTTCTCATAGGCCAAAGAGGAAAGGTATTTGATCCTTCCTATAGACTCTTGATGGTTTTGGCGTTGTAAGTTTTTGCCTCACACCAAGTTTGTAGGTACTTCTATTGATAGGGTGATGGTGGAGGCTCTTTATAGTTTTAGGATGGTGTTTTCCCCTCCTTTTTCTAAGAGGGCGAAGTTTGATGCCCCAGCGCTTCTCAACTGGGGGCTGTCGGTGCCGAACCCATGAGTAAACCTTTTTAACAATACTTGGACCATTGATAGGTACTCTTGCATCCTTTCCTTCTTTGCTTCAAAGTCTCCCTTTACCTGGTTGATTCTCAGCTATAAGTCACTATAGGCTGTCAGGCAGAGGGCCTCTATCTTCAATGCAAGCTTTAAGCCTGATGTGAGGACCTCATACTCAGCTTGGTTGTTGGATGTTGCAAAGTGGAGGAGACGGCGTACTTGAGTGAAGTGCCATAGGGGCTTATTAGTACTAGTCTTGCGCTGCTGCCCTCGCTAGTGGAGGACCCATGCATGCATAGTCTCCAACATGGTACAATAGATGGTAGCGAGGGCGTAGAGGGCTCTCATGAAGTAGTCACAAAGGAGTTGGGTGCCTCTAGTCTCAAAGTGTGGTTTGCCAAGTCGAACTTTATTGGGATAGTGTCTGGGCTTGTCTCCTGGTGGGTGGAGGCATTATGCACTAAGTAGGCGAGCGCAGGGGCGCGTGATATTTCCTCTTGGGATTCCTGTGGTGGTGCAGACTCCCGAGACTCCCGTGTCGGTGTAGACTCTTGGGACTCCCGTGGCGGCGTAGGCTCTTGTGACTACCGTGGCGGCGTAGGCTTCCCAATACTCCCTTGGCAGGATTCATGTGGTGATGTAGACTCCCGGGACTCCTGTGGCGGTGTAGACTCCTAGGACTCCTGTGGCGATATAGACTCCCGGGACTCCCGTGGCGTAGACTCTTGGGACTCCTCTGGCGGTGTAGACTCTGGGATTCCCATGGCGATGTAGATTCCTGGGACTCCCATGGCAATGTAGATTCTCGGGACTCCTATGGCGGGATTCCTGTGGTGGTGTAGACTCTTGGGACTCCCATGGCGGTGTAGACTCCTAGGACTCCTGTGGAGGTGTAGACTCCCGGAACTCCCATGGCGGTGTAGACTCCTAGGACTATCAGATCTAGCATTTGTACCGCTGTGGGAGTTGAGACTCTAGTGTAGTCTTCTACAGGGACTGTAGCTCCACATAGCTACCCTACTTCTAGTAGTGGCTTGGTGTCCATGCTTTGACGTGAATTTGGGTAAGGAGTGGCTTTGGAGTTCTGTGACTCTCTAGGATCTCAGAGAGGTTGGATCTCTAGGTCCAAAGGGTAATATCAATACTACGATGGAGGGGTTTTACATGGTTTTCCTTTCTTCTAAACTTTGATTTTGTAAACGCCTTTTTTCCTTCATGTTTTTTTTTGAATGCTTGTAGGTGACTGCCGCTTTTCTCTACCTTTTTTCAAGAACAATCAAGCTTGGAGAGGCATTCAGAGTTCTAGCAAGAGAGAGGCAGACACAAGAGGCTCTTGAGGAGCAGTTGAGGTTGGCTCATGAGAGAGGGTTGTCGTGGCAGAGGCTTATAAGGAGACTACCTGCATGGGAGCAGAGTCATAGCTGTGAACTTCCCATAAGAGGGCTACAGGAGCTGAGGTCGAGCTACATATAGCTTGGGATATGGCTGCCTGCTGAGGAGCAGTTAAGGTTGGCTCATGAGAAAGGGTTGTTGTGGCAGAGGCTTATATAGAGACTACTTGCGTGAGAGCAGAGTCATAGCTGCGAACGTCCCGTGAGAGGGCTGCAAGAGTTGAGGCTGAGCTACGTATAGCTCAGGAGATGGCTATCGTGATAGAGTTTGTAAGGAGACTACCTACGCGAGAGTAGAGTCATAGCTGTAGGTGTCTTGTGAGAGGTTCGCAGGAGCTGAGGCCAAGCTATGTATAGCTTGGGAGATAGCTACCGTAGTAGAGGCTCATTCCATTGAGATGGAGATGAGGAGGGAGGCTGTTGAGAGGGCCATTGCATATGCCTTTATTAATAGTTATGAAGAGCTTGATAGCTTTCCTTGTTATTGATTTATTTGGTTTCGTCCTATATGGGGCACCGGGGGTAGATGGTGACGGGAAGAGCCTTGATGATTGTGGCTCGGGGAGCAGTGACTGATCGTCAGTAGTATGACGACTTTTATTATTTTGTCTACCTTGTTGTTAGGTCATGTTCTGAAGTAAACTATATACAAACTTTATGAAAGTAAAACAGTTCTGGACACAATAATCTTCGTTGATTTTTATTTCATACATAACAGAAAAGATCAAATGAAACAATAAAGGACAAATAAAATGAGAGCCACCGACTTATACCTGCTATTGATAATAGCTCTTCAGTTGGAGTCACCTCCTCCTTGAAACCCTTTGGAGATTATCTGAATTTCTCTAAGGGGCTGCTGGTGCTCTCTGTCATTCTTGTTTTGTCATGTTGTGGGTTTTGTCCTCTACTAGCAATGTACTACCACAAATGGCCATGCTATATGAGCTCCTCGATCTGTCTTTTAAAGTCAAAGCAATCATCAGTATCATGGCCGTGGTCGTGGTCGGCAGTACTTGTTCGGGTTCCTACGGTTCGGGGGGGTCTTCATCTTCTCTAGCCAAAGTACTGTATGATCATCCTGTATTTAGAACAAGATATACTCCACTGAAGCATTGAGTGGCGTAAAGTCTTGCCGCTCTCTCAAAGGTGGGGGACCAAGTTGGTTCTTGACAGAGACTCTCTCTATCCTATTCCTTTTGTTCTCTGCTTTCCGCTTGTCCTCACAGATGTCCTACCTCTTCTTGCCCCTATGTGAGGATTCACCTCATCTAGCCTTAGTGACATCCTCGACATTCATCTACTTTTGTGCCCTTGATAGTAACTCGGGCATGCTAGATGGTGGCTTTTTAAGGATAAAGAACATGAAACTAGAGGAGCGCAGACCCACAATAAAGGTAGCCATGGTCACCTTGTCATATGACTTCTCAATCTAGAGAGCCTCCTCGTTAAAATGAGTGAGGTAGCTCATCAGGCTTTCATCCCGATTCTACTTGATGGTGAGTGACTTGATTTGAAATGTGTACACCCAAGTACAGACGGTCAAGTTGTAGTAATAATCCAGTTAAGTCCAGAGTCGAATCCACAGGGAACTATGATTGGTGTTCTGAAGTAAGCAGTGATAGAGACCAAGTAACTGGAAACCTTGAGAATTTGAAGTTATGAGATTTCTTTGAATAGAATGGAAGATTCTTTCCAAGAGTTTTCTAGACGAAATATAAGATAAATTCAAATGTAAAACAATCACCCTTTAGCTTGAGGATCAGAACATGTAGTTGATCTTCCGGTTTATTGTACTTGTGCTTTATAACTCAATTAACTTCCGTGTCAACAGCAAGTTAATCGGAAGATAAAGATGGACTATGAGAATTAAGCACATGATTCTGATGCCTTTCTAGAAGTTTACAAGAATTGTCTATGCCGAGATTTAACCCATCTACAAACAAGAAAGTGTTTCTACAAGGCATCCAACCATGACATTAATGTTCCATTCTTTAGATAAAGCGCAATAATGGTGAATATTAAAATGTTGTCATGAAGATCTAGTCGGGGTACTTGCCTTGAACCAACGGGTCTTTCCATGCAAGAGTCATCCGTGACATAGAAAGAAACCCTGGTTATACAAAGTACCTTAGCTTTGTTAGATACAATCAATCATTCAATAAGCAAGTGGAATATAAAGCATTAAAGTATAAAGAAAATGCACAAATATAACTTCCGGATAATCAATACATGTTCATCACCTCTTACTAAAGAGTGAATGAGGAATTACTCACTCTTCATGGCTTGAGTAAAGCTAGAAAAGTGAGTAATACTCATCGCTCTAAGTAGAGAACTTACAAGGTAAAGTACAATAAGTGAAGAGCCGATCTTCACCAAAGAATAAGTGAATCAAGTTTCACCCTTCATGACTTTGGTAAAGCTCTAAAAAAGTGGAAGAGTTTCACTCCTCTAAGGAAGAAGGAAGCTTAAGCAATGGAAGTGAAAGACATGAACAATAGAAGTAAAAGAAAGCTAGTCACATTTGGAGGGTGGCTTCCTCAATCATGAAATGGAGGGTTGCTTCCTCAACCAACATATGAACTAACTGCCTTGATACAAACAAATATAACATTCATCTAACTACATCAGTGGGAGTCCAAGCCTCCATCAAGTTGTTGACTAGTTCTTGGTGTAGTCTAAGCCTTACAAACTAAGTTCTAGTCTTCTACAAGAACATCCTCTTGCATCAAAGGCTCTCCCAAGGGGAGTATTTATAGGCAAGGAGGAGGGGGAGAGAAGGGAGTGTGAAGGAATAGTGTATGCCGCCCAAGTCCAAGTGAAAAACCAACTACTCTGCAGCCTGCCAGTGGTGGACGTTCAAACGTGATTTGGCATTTGAACGTTGTCTCTGTTTTTCCTTTACAGGCGTTTGAACGTTGTCTAGCGTTCGAACATTTTTGCTGTTTTTGATTTGTGGGCATTCGAATGTTTTTGCTGTTTTCCTTTACACAAAGTGAACGTTGTCTTCCTTCTTGATTGCAACACGCCATGTCTCAGCAGTCTGGTCTTCTCATAGTTCAAGTGGACGTTCGAACGTGATTTGGCGTTCGAACATTCTTGCTTTGTTCCAATCTTCTCCAATTTTGTTCCCTAATGCATTGGTATTATACTCAAGTGTGATATTTGTTGTTCTTGAACCTTTGTTCACTTTAGGACCTAAAATGTCATTACTTAAACTCCATCAAAGTACAATTAGTCCCAAAAAGGCATAGTGAAATGCTAATTTTACGCACTCATCAATGAACAAGGGGCAACTGGCTTCTAGTGTCGGCGTCCCGCAATGAAGTGGGAGACGAAAAACTTGCTTAACTCCCCAAAGAAGTGGATGGAAGAAGGCTTGATCTTGGCAAACCATTGGCATGCAGATCCCTTGAGGGTGGTAGGGAAGGCTATACACATAATCTTATCAGGTACATTGTGGAGTTGCATGAGAGATTTGTATGTGTTGAGATGGTCAAGGGGATTTTTGGTGCCATCAAAGATCTCAATGACAGGCAAATTGAACTTTGAAGGTAAAAAGTAGTTGACAACATCTGCAAAAAATGGGGTATCAGTGCGCCTTATCAAGTAATCCATTGTCTCCAGCACTTGTGCTTTGATGGCGTTGAGGACATCACCGAGCTGGTTTTGTACCTCCTTGATCTTCTTGTCCCATTGGTTGGGTACGTCCTTCGTTGGGTCATTATAGTGGCTTTCATGATTAGTATACTGGCTTTTTCCCTCATCCTCTTGTGTAGGTACATGAGGAAGGGGAACACGTGAGCTTCTTGCACATTGAAGAGGGACTCCTGAGCAAGGGGTGCCCTGGCGCTGCCCGGGAGCGCTCTGACGCTGGGCTCCACTATGGGCGCCCTGGTGAGGCTGTGGCACCTCTCCAATTGGGGGGAGTACTGCTCCTATAGACTGAGGGGCAACGCCTCCTAGGGTGAGCATTAGTTGGATGATTTGCTGGTTCTAGCTTACCAACAACTACGTGGTCTCCAAGAGTTGTTGCCCAACCACGAGGGTTGCTGCAATAGATGGTTCCGTTGGTGCAAGCGGAGGCGGAGCCTCCTCCCAGCGGGCTGGGCTGTTATCCTCCAACTATTGACTCATCGACATGGTCGTGATCGCCATAGAAAGTAGCAAGTCAGTAGAAAACTTAGTCTTTTCCCATAGATGACGCCAAATTGATGATGCAAAAAATAGTCTTATGCAAGATCAACAGTCGAGTGTGTGATAAAATATAATTAATGGGCAATTAATAGGGCAATCAATGACAATAATGTAAATATCAGGTCAACACATAAATATATAGTGGTTTAGTCTGGGTGACCTACTCTACTCAGGAAAACGACAACGGTGGCCGGGGGACCTTTATTGATAAAGTAAGGTGAACGAGAGAGAGAGAGAGTAATGGTTAGCTTTGGGAGAAGTACAATAGCTAGGAGAGAGAAAAGCTATGGGTAGGGTGTGTAGAGATAGATCAATATTTGCACTCTCATGTAGAGAGAGCTTACAATTTATAGATACAGAGCCTTGATTAAGGCGGTGACGTGAGGGAAATTGTACTAATTTTTCGGGTAGCTACAAAAGGTAAGTGCCATAAGAGATTGCCTTAATCTTCGAGAGTGAGTATCCTGATAATTGCTCCCCAAGTGCTCTAATTATTCTTGGATTCCTTAGACCTTGGGCTGGGTCGAATTCACGAATTGGGCTTGACCTGCCTTTTAGCTAATTTGGGCTTACTTGATTTATTGGGCCTGGCCTAGTTAAATCTGGGCTCGTCAATTCAAACTCACTAGCTTCAAAGCAAAACCACCTCCTCGTTTTGGTTGTTTCAGATGACACTTCCCCTATCGTAGCAATCCGGAATAAAGGTTGGCAATGTTCAGATTCCATCATTGGTACATTGGTCATAGTACTCTCTAGGAATTTTGCAATCCAAGCTGAACCGAAAGATCCTATCCAGTCTTGCTTTGGTTGAATGTGGAAATTGAATTCCCATTCCACCAGGTAAATGGATATCCCTTAAATCCAATGTCCACTAATTGGCATTCATCTATTGTTTCTCCCCCCCCCAAAGTTTCGACAATCTCTCTGAAGTCTCCACCACAAACCCATGGTATATCTAACCGACTGCTGACTGTACAATTTTTTCAACAACGCCCATAAAAATTTGTGTTTTGCGATAACTGGATGGTCGTAGAAACCCACAAATCACAATTTGTCCATGGTATGTTCATTCATCGCAAATTTTATGTGGAAATTGGAATAACATTTCACATTTACATCCCTTCACCATAACAATACAATACCACTATCCCTTCCTCACGATTCCACAATTAATCCTTGGGTTATACATATGCTTTGCTTCATAATTAATCCACCAATTCCCTTTCATCAATAAGATGAGGTATAAGCCATTGGCCAATTGTGGAAGGTCCAACTAGTATCTCTTCCAACCAATGTAAAGATAAATCCCCTCGCTGCTCATCAAAATCCCTTGTAATACCTTCCTTCACACTGCTCTCACCAAGATCATCATAATTAGTGGTTAAAGGGCAGTGGGAATCAACTGCATCCCTACAATTATTCACCACTATATCTGTATGATTTCAAATTAGCGTGTCCCTAGCAATATTGGTTTGGTTTTAGTGACATAGTACATGATGGGACATTTTGGTAACCAGTGGAGGGAGCAACACATGTTGCCTAGACATCGACAATTGGTGTACCCCCTCGGTTTACTAGCTTACCTACCTTAGCATCAAGGGACCTTCCTCGGTGTAGATATTCCTCGACATCATGATCCTTCCTATGTCAGCATTTTAGCTGCACTTCGGCGTCAAGTGAAGGTTTGTCTCGACATCTATCACCATGTAAAGAGATAAGCTTCAATTTCAAAGATAGGGGAGATTGACTAAGGCAAACACATCCCATGAATTGAGATAAAGCAGCACCTGAATGTTGCGGCTTAGCGGCGGGGTTGACTCTCAGTTATTGGCCCTCTTCTCCAAGGTAATTAGAATGATCAAAAAAGTAATTCGATGACCAATAATAGAGGTTTACGATGTACAGAACAATTAATTCTTGATCCCTTGAAAGGGAGATTGGTGAAAATGCCCCCGCGCATGCATGGCCATGCCCAAGGTGCATTAAATGAGTTCACAAGAGCGAAAGAGACATTCACTGCTCGGTGGAGCTGAGAAGGGTAAATTAAGTGCTCAAGGTCCTAAATGCGAACCAGCAGAGACACTTGGTGTAGAGAAAAACATGCTCTTGGATCGAGGTCTGTGCACCAGAGGTTGTCCCCTGCACGAACCAACTAGGAGCTTTCCCTCGAAGGAGGCCCAGCTGTCAGCCTCAGTCAACTCTTGGAAGGTATAAATAACACCCTCAAGCTCAAAGTTAAGGTACACAACCCTCTGTCTAAGCAATATAACAATGTTCTCAAACCCCTCTCTCGAATATTGACTTAAGTGTCAGAGGGGTCACGCCGGAGAACGCTCTGACGCCCTTCTAACTCTTCTTTCTTGAGTGACATGTCACTATTTAGAGCCTTTCCATGAATAAAGTGTTTACAGAAGAGGGTTCTGCTATTGTTCCCCACCTTTCTTCTTTAAGGCCCTACTTACAGTTCTATACCTATTCATTTTGGGAGATGCAAGAGGGGTTTCATTGAAGTGACTTTCTAGGTGGACTCGAGTTTACCAAGGGAAAGATTTGTCATCTCATTCATTGTGTAGAAATCACCCTGCATAGTGCACATATAGAAAGTCTAGCCTATATTGATTGAAATTCCTTACATCCCTCTTTTCAATTGTATTGCTTCAGGAACAAAACTTTGCTATATGACCAATCCTCCCACATAGACAGAACATGAATGGTACTCATTCATATTGAAAATTGGCAAAACATATGTTTTCTCCCCGGATTACGAAGCTTAATTCTGCAACAATGATTAACCCTAATTAGTGGGTAATTGAATTAGGTTAATAGGTCAATTATGTTAGTTAAAAGAGGTAAAACAGTCAAGATATACAAAATTAGGGTTAGTGCGTAAATTAGGGTTAATACGTTAATTATTGTATTTTTTAGGCTTTTATGTGTAAATGCTACAAAGCAAAGGGGAGCAATCTGTCAAAAGTCAAATCAACAAGGGGTCAAAAAGCAATTACATCAAATCAAGCAAGGAAGCAAACCACCAAAAATAGTGGAATGCCACCATCAGGATGATGGTGGTGGCGTCCAGATGGTCAACAAACCGTCTTACAACCTTCTATCCTCCCATTGGCTAGTTTATGCAACAAACGCCCTCATTGGTCCATTCTGCCTCCAACCGGCTCAAGTAACTCCCTAGCCTTCTATAAATAACCCTTGCTAGCTTCATTTCCAGTGTTCTGTCAGAGAGAAAGGAAGAGAGAGTGGAGGGAAGTCTGGAGAGTCAGGGATATTTAGAAAAGAGTGAGATACAGGTAGTGAGTGAGAGACAGTCAGAAACAGTGTAGCGGAGCACTGTCGAACCACTTCAAGCCAGCTTTCCAGCCTACTTTCCAGTTGAAGCTTTTCTTTCTTCTACATTTATGTTATTCCTTTCTACTTGAAGGGTTGAACCTCTCACACTTTTGTGCCCTAATCGGTATTAAGTGTGATCGCGTTTCAACTATTCCTCAGGAAATGAGTGTTTGTGTTTTATTTTTGTATTGCAATGGAACTATCTCGCACTTCTTGCTCGTTTATAGTAATGGGGCATGAATAGTCCACTTTTACCCTTCGGTGAAGGGTGAACATATGTAACGTATTGTTTGAGTTATGAAAATGCTGATGTTATAACTATGCTTTAATGTTATATCTACCTCCCATATTGATGGATGGTTACATTTATAATATGCTCATGGTTATGAACACTGAGCGGTACCTAATGCTATATACCCTACTATATACTAGTTATGTACTTCATGCATGACACAGTGATGTACGTGATTGGGCTTTACGTAATAGTCAATTGATTGGTTATAGACGTGTTAAGTCTCGGTGATTCAACCTATTTCGTGATCTGATTAATATTATACACCCAAGTATAAGTTGTTGAATTGTAATTTTCTCGATTTAAGTCCAAGTATCGATCCCACAAAGAGTTTTAATAATTTAGGAAATAAAATAAAAATAGGGAAGTGGTTGTTTAAACTAAGATAACATGAGAAAGCTTGTGATGTGAGCTTAGATTGATAACTAGTCCAATTAAATGTATGTTTGCAGATAGATTGTGTAAAGATAGCAATACAAACAGTATCCTTCAGTTTAAGGATCCCATATGCTTTATATTGGTCAAATACTGAAAATGCTACCTTACAACAATTAACTTCCATGTTACTGGCAAGTCAAACGGTAGGTCTGATGTATATAAACCATCACACATCAACTTCTTAGGTTAGCTGGTGGTATCCATGACAATTGATTAATCCAAGTGAACCAGAAGGACAAGCTATTCATGAGGAATACTTGAATTACTCAATTGATCCCATGATAATAAGTGTGTACATAATAAACCATAACACAACAACTACTTAGGTTGGCTGGTGGTATTAAATCATAACAAAGCAACTTCTTAGGTTTGCTGGTTATAGATGTGTCAATTGACTAACTCCAGTAAACCAGAAGGACAAGTCATTCATGAGGAATACTTGAATTACTCAATTGAGCATCTTCTTATATATACTGGTAGAACATCCTCAACGTTCCGGTGGAGGACAAGCCATACCGATGGAATATCGTAGATATTTGACTGACAATATTATTATGTATACCAGTTAAACAACCTTAGTAATTCAGAAGGACAAACCATTCTTGAGGATCACTTAGGTCATTAATAAACAACCCTAATAACCCAAAAGGACAAGCCATTCACGAGGATCATTTAGGTTTTGTACCATGCATTAGTAGAACATCCTCAATGTTTCAGTGGAGGACAAGCCATACCAATGGAACATTGCAGATATTTAACCGGCAGGTTGATGATGCACTAATGACATAATTCTAGATAGAACACCGAAATTACGTACATCACTGTATCATGCATGAAGTATATATATATATATATATAACATCAGCGTTTCCAGAAGTTAATCAATATTATACATATGTTTACCTATCACTGTAGGATATAAGTAACTACTCACACCCCATTACTACAGACAAGCAAGAAGTGTGGATAATTTTCATTACAACAGTAAATAAAATACAGACTTGGATACTTCTTTCACAAGAAATAACTGAAATACAACCACCCGTAATATCAATTAAGACACAAAGGTGGCGGCAGTTCAACTATCCGAATAGAAAGACACAAAAATGTAGAAATATAGAGTTTCGGCTGGAGTGTATGACGGATCGGATTTGTGTATGACTTCTTCTTTTCTCTCTTTCTTTTTATCTTTCTTTTCTTTCTTTAGAATTCTCTCCCTGGAGCTCTCTCTTTGCCAGACCGTCTTCAAGACAAGGCCATGCATGGTTTTTATATAGGAAAAGGATCAAGCATGAGGTGGAGGGTGAAGATGAGCCCCTCCACCGTCCGGACGGTCTTGCTTTGCTGGATGTTGATCTTGTTGTGTGCTGACTCTTCCTTGGTAGATTTACATTTTGGTCCCTTGCTCTTTTAAGCTTTGACATATTATTCCTTGTATTTTTTGATAATTCCGCATCAAACCTTGAAAAGTTTATACATAACAAACATAAAACCTTAATTTCCACACAAACCCTAATTGATAGTTTTTAGTTATTTTATCTTACCAATTTGACTTATTTAAGGAGTCTAATTTATATATTAATTAGGGTTAATCACACTCCCCAACTTAAACTTTACTAGTTCCTAGTAATTTAAAAAATGAAAATCTAATCAGAGGTAAAATTATTTTCGTAGATTTTTTTACGATTGCATTTAGCATATGCAATAAGCCTTTAAACCCCTAGGTGATCCCTAGTGGACGAGTTTTATCTCGTGATGGTTTTCAGTGAAGTTTCCTACATACTTTAGTTAGTTAGAATTTCATATTTTTTCATGAATACAATTAAATCAATATTCCTTTTGCATTGCTCGCATATGTCTGTTTCTGATCACTATAAGAGTAACACACGTTAGTTGTAACATTATCTATATATTGTTATAAAAACTTTTGTGTGTGTAGTGATTTCTTTATTTTCAAAAATAACTTGAGAAGTATTACCATCTTTCATGGTAGTCTTGATGTCAATCCTTTCCTAAATTACACTTAGCAAAAATATCACACATGTTATAATGAATGTTTTTCAAAAACTACATGTGATTGGAATATTGTACACAAAGTAAATAGTTTCACATGTAGTTAATTAAAAAAAATGGTTATTTGAATAAAATTAGAATTTGACATAATCTCATGAAAGAATATTAACACTATATTAAATATATATTATTAACATCCTCCTTTTTTGGATTGATAGGATTAATACAAATGCATGATTTCTGGAATCAAAAAAGACTTTAGTAGGGTTGTAATGTGGCCATTAGTTTAAGGTTTATGAAACGACGTTAGTGGAATTCCAATGCTATCTTGTGTGGCACACCTCATTCTATTTTTCTAGAACTTTACATGTTCTTTCTTTCCATTTTTCCCATTTTCACTTTCTTGGCTCTTTTCTTTCTTTTGACACTTCTTTCTCAATTTTTTTTTGAACTGGGATCATTCTTTTGTCTTTTCTTGTCCTTTTCTACCATTCCTTCTTTTCCTGCTTT